AGAAAGGAAGAAAGGAAGGAGGAAGGAAGAAGGAAGGAAGGAAGGAAGGAAGGAAGGAAGGAAGGAAGGAAGGAAGGAAGGAAGGAAGGAAGGAAGGAGGCTCCTTTGTGCTCTTACCCTGCTCTTCTCGCTCCCAACACTTAGATCCTGAAGCACCTGCAGGAGCAGAGAGACAGCCAGTGTCTGCACATAGAGGAGTACCAGAACCTTGTGAAGGACCTGCGCATGGAGCTGGAAGCCGTGTCCGAGCAGAAGAAAAACATCATGAAGGGTAAAAACAGGACTGCGAGCCGAGGCGGGCGAGGAGGGAGCCTGGCCTCTGACGGGTAAGCAGGGTTGTCTTTCCCACACTAGACATGATGAAGCTGGAGCTGGACCTGCACGGGCTGCGGGAGGAGGCGTCGGCCCACATCGAGAAGAAGGACAAGGAGGCAGCCACCCTGCAGCACCGGCTCTTCGACCTGCAGCAGCAGTTCGCAGAGACGCAGAAGCTGGCCCTGAAGAAGGACAAGGTGCCAGCACTCCCTGGGTCTTGACTGGAACAGCCAAGGGGACGAGTGTGAGGTCAGGGCCAGGGCAAGAGCATCTCTGCCTACCTTGGCTGTTGTGGGAGTCTCATGGACTCACTGGGCCAGGGGCCACTCAGAGAACTTCTTTCTTCTTTGGTATTTCTAAGAACAAGGGAGAACTGGGGATGAAGCTGGACATGGTGATATATGCCTGTAATCCCAGAATTTGGGAAGGTGAGGCAGGAAGATTACAAGTTCAAAGCCAGCCCAGGCTCTATAATGATTCTCGGTTGAAAAACAAATATATATATATATATATATATATATATATATATCACACACACACAAATTCACAAGTATCTTTTACAGATATAAATCAGAGAGTGTGAAATGTTAGTGGAGCTATGCTGTAGCCTACGAGGTCTGTAGTCACTATTACAAATGTGTTCCTGGAAAAGCCTAGAACCAGAGCTGAGAACAGGAACCTAGAACCAGAGCTGAAAACAGGAAGATGGTGAAACCAGTGTAAGACTTTATGGTCAGCACCATTCAAACCCTGTACTCTCCTCAGTGCTATTAAAGAGAATGCAGTTAATTTCCAGTCGTCAAAACCTCTTGTTTTAAAATAAGGCTGAAACCCACCAGGCAAAACAGAAGCATCTAGAAAAGTGGAGCATAAAAAAGCAAGGTTTCTATAGATGCATTCCTTTGTCATCAGTGTATTCATTCAGCATGCTGGAGTGCCGGCGACATGCCCAACACTGTTCTATGCACTAAAACACACGTCACAGAACACACAGCAGCCCCATCCTCACAGAGCGCACATCATAGGCAAAGGGAGATGGGTACAGAGGGGGTAACATAATTGACATGTGACCCTGATAGAGTGGTGGCAGAGACTGACAAACTCCTGAAACAGTTTGGTGGCTGGGCTGTGATGGAGGGCCTGCCTCTCTGATCAGGTGACCGTGGGCAGAGACAGAACTGCCCGACGGGCCCCATGGTGTAATGGCTAACACTCAGGGAGAGCTGAAGGCATGGGTCCTGAGGAAAAGCAGTCCAGGCAGAGGGCGCAGCAAGCACAGAGACCCTCCAGATGCAGGAGGCTAGCTGAAGCTGAGATGGGCAAGGGGTTCCTGGACACCAGGCCAAAGAGGCAGCCTAGGCAGGACCAGATCATGAGCCTCCTGAGATATGGCTGTAAAGACTTGAACCTTTTTTCTAAGTAAGGCCAAAGCCAGCAGAGGATTTTGGACACAGGCAACTCTAGCTTATACTCTGAAAGGTCCTCTCTGGCTACTGCAGTGAGAACAGCCTGAGGGAGCCCGAAATGGCCGAAAGAGCACGGGTAGAAGGTTCTTGGGCTACCCCAGCATGGCGTGCCAGTGGCTTGCATGAAGACTCTGTATAACCTCTAACTGGCTCAGCTGTGGTGCTTAGGCGTCTCCCAGCATCCCTTCTTTGATATCCGCAGTTGCTCCAAGACAAGGACGAGAGGCTACATGAGCTGGAGAAGAAACTGGCGCAGGTGCAGAACACTTTCATGGAGAAAGAGATGGAGCTGGAGAAGTTACAGCGAACGACAAAAGACCTCGATACGAGTCTCCAGGAGGCAAAGCAGGACACATCCAAAATGGATTGTGAGGCCCTGCGGGCCGAGGTCCAGAAGCTGAAGGAAAGTCTTGATGAAGCCAAAGAGCAGCTGAAGCTGTCAGGTGAGACCCAGGCTCGCACTGCCCCACCACACTTCCAACCCTGTCTCGACAAATGCCCGCGTCCAAGATCTCACTCCACACCCCACGACCTCGTCTTGTATCTCCCAGCGGTCTCTCAACTCTCCCGAACCTCCACACCCACAGGCTCTCCGAAGGCCCTGCTACAGCCTCCTGCTCCCAACGTCCCCTCAGCCACCTTAGGCGAATGCGCCACACCACGCGGACAGCAGAGAGGACGGGGCTGGCCGTGGGCTTCCCGGCATCACCTTTCACCTCTCTTCTCCAGGCCCTTCACTGCACATTTTGTTTCTCCCTCCCTGGTTCTCAATCCCACCTCCTCCTCCCTTTTGCTTCCAGACACATTCTGCTCGGTAGCCTGTGCTGGGATCTTGCCCTCACCTCTCCGAGGAGACAGCTTTCTCAGCTCACCAGTCTCCTCTTGCCTTGGGCTCAGAAGGGTTTCTTGGGGGATGACGACAATGCCCTTAACTTGGCTTGAGCTCACTACCCCCCACTGCACTAGCCACCCTAAAGAGGTACAGTCACCGCTGGGTGAAAAGGCTATCGCTATAAAAAGAAATCCCTGGCGTGGCTCCTCTCTCCCCAGCTCTGCCCTGACAACTTTAGCCACCCACACCCGGTCCTCAGCTTTGTAGACATCGCCCTCAATCCCACAGAGACCTCACGATTGTTTCCTTTCCTCCATGCTCTGACCAGTCATTTGCCCTGCAAGCGCGGCCCCTACCCTCTCTCCTCTCGCTCTACACTCATCCTTTAGTGGGCTTCCTCCTCCTGCAGCCATCCTAGAGTCCCTCATCACTTTGCAGCTGTGGTCAGTCCTGCCCTGGAAGGACAGCATCCCACCAGCACCCCATTTCATCCTCACAGCTTTTCCAAAATGGAAAATAATCTCCTCCGTGTGTGTGTGTGTGTGTGTGTGTGTGTGTGTGTGTGTGTGTGTGTGTGTTTAATCTTCCTGTCTCCTTTTTACAAACGTATGCTCACTTCTCCAGTGATGCTATCTTTCTTCTGGTATACCAGGACACTTCAGGGAAGGGAAGAGAGAACAGTGTTTAAAGAATACCTGTAGGGTGAGGAAACACACATGACCAAAACAATCCCCAATGACAGCAGGGCGTCTTCCCTCAGTGGAGGCAGGGGGATGAAAGGCTATTGCTGGAAGTCGTCTCTAATTGACTGCATCCCTGTTTGTTTTTGTTTGTTTGAGACAGACATACCACGTAGCTCTGGCTGGTCTGGAACTCATGATGTAGACCAGGTTGGACCTGTGAAGCACTTCCTGCCTCTGCCTCTAGAATGCACTATCATGCCCAACTTGCATTGTGCTTTTCCTAATGTCCTCTTTCCCTGACGTGGGTCTCTGCTTACTGCTTCAAGTCTGAACATTCCTCTCATGCTGTCAATCTTCTGAGCCGCTCTGATCGACCTTCTTGCTCACTGCAGCCTACCTTCTCTCCCACTTTCCATTCCAACTCAACCAAGGCCCTCCCATCCTTCACCCACATGCTCTCTCCACATTCCCTTCACAGCATATTTGTTCCAACAAGCCCCTCCCGAAAACACGTTCCTTCTCCTTCTAAGGCTGAATCCACTTTTCTCCCTCTTCACAAGTCCATCGACAGCTTTCACCGCTGAGTCCATGGGCAGTGTGAATTTAACACTGCAGTGTTCTAAGGCAAGGATGTAGCTCGGCAGTAGAACATGTGCTTTGCCTGCGCCTGGTCCCCGGCACCAAAAAATAAGTCAATAAATAACATTTCAGTGTTCTCTATAATGGATGGCTAATCATAGTGCTCACCAGACTAAACTCCTTGAGGACTGGGATTTGTCCCTAGTGACAGAATTATAAGGTGGTCCTGAGCAATTTCTACCAGTTTGTTTAATTTTAGTCAGGGAGGAATCCAAGGCTGAAGGGTAGTTGAAGACAATTTAGCAGAGTTCCTTCAGACCGATGACGGCATCAGGAGAGGCAAGGACAGGCTGGGAACTAAAGAATGTCACAGAATAAAAGACTTAGTCTCTAGTGAGTCCTGACTGAGAGTTCAATGTGCTGCCCCTCACACGGAGCCCTCCTTGGCTTCTTCAGATCAGAATCTAACCCGGTGTAAGGAGGAAGCACACCAGGCTGGAAGCAACCTGGAGGATGCTCACCGGAAAATCGAGAGCTGCCTTCTGCAGGACAAGCAGAAGACAGACGTCATCAAGGATCTGCAGGGTCAGTTGCAGAAGCTGCAGATGGAGTCCTCGGCAGCTGAGGAGGAGAGAAAGAGCAGCAGGTACCCCGGCCCCATCCCTGGGCCAGAGGTTGGCAGCTGCCCAGAGTGGGACAGTGACGTGACAAGCCCTAGGGTGGGACCATCTCCCCAATCCATTAGCACGGGCCCTGGGACCCTTCCTGTGTCGCCTTGCTGTAGGAAACAGATAGAGGAGCTGACCTCAGAGCTCAAGGAGGACCAGAGGAGGATTACAAATTCAGACAAAGAGAAGTCGATGCTTCAGAAGACACTAATTGAAAATGAAAGAAAAATAAATGATTTGCTTGATTCTGTCAAAACTTCTGAGCAAAAGGTAAGAGAGCAAGCACACCAGCAGCTGCCTTCACTATCTGTCCTGCCTGAGGCTAAGTGGGTCAGTCTTTATTAACTTCTTGTGTTTGACTGTTATGCCAGCCACTTGGGACCAGTTCCCATGACCCATCGTAAGCATTTTCAAGGGTTAAGTTTAAAAATAACCAGAGGACAACATAGGTTGCTGTATTATTTGTTTTTCTATTGCTATGATAAAACACCATCACCAAGGACACTTGTAGAAGAAAGAGTTTCTTTGGGATACATTGCAGAGGGTTTGAGTCCACCATGAGGGAAGCAGCAGAAATTGGTCAGCATGCCAGCTAGAGCAGGATGCTGCCGAGGTTGTATCTTGAGCCACGAGCACAAAGCAACACTAGGACAAGACCTTAAATTCTCAAAGCCCAATCACTAGTGACATAGTCCCCTCAGCAAGGCCACACCTCCTAACCTCCGCCCCAAACAGTGCCAACAACTGGGGACCAGGTGTTCAAATGCAGGAGCCCGAGAGGGACATTCTAGTTCAAACCACAGTTGGTTCATCTGTTTGCCATCAACCCTTGCCCACTGACCTATGTCCCCAGGCTCCTCTACAGCTCTTCTTCTGAAGATTGAAGGGCTGTCCCTGTCCATCAGTTGACAGTCTTTGATCTCTCATGTCTTCCTTTTGTATTCTTCTAAGATTCACTTTATTCAAAGAGGTTTTTATGTAAAGAGTTGGTCTAGTGGGCAAGAAGGTCGACATTCTAGGAACTGGGCCAATGAATAAATCGGGTTTAGTTAAACAAAGAAAGGTGTTACAGAGCACTAAAGCAGACGTTCCCACCGAATGTGCTGGGGGGCTAAGAAATAACCCTGGCGCTTGTCTCCACCGTCCCTGTGCGGAACTGTCTGGATTTCTTTTCCCACGTATAACAGTATAGGATTGTCTTGCAGCCCGGCCTTTTTTTCCCCTCAGCAAAGGGAGCTAACAAATACCAAAAACAAGCTGCAAGAGGAGCTCCAGGAGATGAAAGGGCTCCTGGAGGAGAAGCGGGAACAGCTGAAGAGGAGCAAGGAACAGGAAAAGTCCCTGGAGGGAGAAACCGAGGCTCTGAGACAGGAAGCCAAAAAGAAAGAAAAGATGGTGAGGGGGTGGGACGTGGAGAGACCAGACTGTGAATCTGGGGCCCAGGGGGTGGCAGGCAGCCGGGGGGCTCCGAAGAGGATGGAGAGACCAGACTGTGAATCTGGGGCCCAGGGGGTGGCAGGCATCCCTGGGGCTCCAAAGAGGATGGAGAGACCAGACTGTGAATCTGGGGCCCAGGGGGTGGCAGGCAGCCCTGGGGGCTCCGAAGAGGATGGAGAGACCAGACTGTGAATCTGGGACCCAGGGGGTGGCAGGCAGCCCTGGGGGCTCCGAAGAGGATGGAGAGCAGGGAGCCAGTGATCAGGAGAGGGAGGCGGTGAGGGGCAGGAAGGAGAGGTGTCTCCAGCGAAGCCCACTCTGGCGGTGGGGGTGAGCTTTACCATCTCATGGGGGAACAGGCAAAAGAGCATTTGAGGAAGCTGGAGGAAGAGAAGGAGAACCTCCAGACGGAGCTGAACGCCTGCTCTTCACACCTGGAGTCCTCCATCAACAAATACAACAACGCCCAGAAAACGATCCAAGAGCTCAACATAGAGGTGAGGAGACAGCAACCCCAAAGAGGGGACCCCCGACTGCTCATCTCGGGCTTGGCTGCCTATGCAGGCTGAGGCCCTGGCAGCTCATCTCTGTCTTTTAATGGGTAGAGGTGGCTACAGACCCTGGAGTCTGGGGGCGGGGGAGATTTTTCTTCCTTACGTAACAGATTGCATTTCGTAGTTGAAGAGGCCCCACCCCAAACTACCTGGAATTTTCCACCAAGTCTTCCAGCATTATAAATTAGACAAAGAATTGCCTGAATTAGTTGTTTGGAGCCTCTTGAGAGAGGATGTTCTCAAACGTAATGGCAAGGCACAAAAGGTGCCAGGAGAGGGTCATTTCCTTCAAGTTCACGTTTCATGATTCGGATGAAAGTCACGGGTGTGACAGAGTCTAGGAACCGCGCTGGAATTCAGCCATTCTCTTTACATACCTTCCATCTGCTTCACTCTTAACAAAGTATACATCGCTGTGATCCCCCATTTACAAAGGAAAGAAAGGCCGAATCCCAGGGCCACTAATTAGTAAGTGATGGGACGAACCAGTATTTGAACCTGGATCATCCGACTCTAATGCCTGTCCTTTTTCTTCAGCACACACAGTGATGCTTTCCCCAGTGGAATATATTATACCTTTCTGGACAAGAAAAAAAAAACATATAGTACTTAGAAGACAAGTCTCTTGAGCTACAAATGAAAACCTAGGCATCTCTTAATCTTTCATAATACAAAAAGATCTGAAATCGTATGACTATTCAAAGCTTAAGATAAGCACTTCCCAACAGCAGCCCGTGCCTCGCCGTGGTGATAGAAAAGAGATACATGTGAGCTAATAGTAATGTGACCACTAGCCACATCTTGCCACTGAGAACTGAGGAACTGACTTTGTACTTTTAATTAATATTAACTAATTGTAAGTTCAGACAGCACAGGTCTCGGGTACTGGCATTCTTGGAGTTTTAACCTCTGGAGTGGCAAATCTTGAGGCCTCAGTCATTTAGCTCCCTGGGAACCTTCCTCCCATCGAAGGAATGAATGCTGCTAAAATGTTCTGTACGAGCCTGATGTCAAAGGTTAGCCATGTAGATTTGGAAGTAAGAGCACCAATATCAGAATTTCTTTGCTCAAAAAGTAAGAGGGATTTGGTTTTTTTTGCATGTAAGCATATTCAACTTTTCAATATTCAAGTTTTTAAAAAGCATTTCCAATACATGTGATAGATCCACTGAATCAATTGAAATAGTTCTTAGAAAAAGGCTGAGGTTTGTTTTCTAAACTTGTACTTCCTTTAATCAATATTCCATATTTTATTTTCAATTTTTGCTGTTTGAAAATGAGGAAATACATATTGAGGACTTTCCCACTTATTTGATTATTCCACTGTATCTTATATTTAATATTAATATAAAACCTCAGTCATTTGTATATATTAATTCTCTGTTTGAACATCTTAGTAAGCTTACTTACAAGCTGTAATAGTCTCTCAGTTTACTTTCACAAGGTGTGTGTTTGTGTATGTGTGTGTATACAGTGTTAGGGATCAAACCCCAGGCCTTTTACATGCTAGGCTCATGAACTTTTCTATTTTGAGACAGGTCTCCCTATGTAGCCCAGGCTGTCCTCAAACTCATGATCCTCCTGAGTCTACCTCCTGCAAGCTGGGATTACAGGCATGCACCACATCACTCAGTTTATGGATTATTTTTAGTAGGTAATTAAATCATTTGTAAACAACAAGTTTCCTAAATATTTCTTTGTAATGTTTATCTTTGTTTTATTTTTCTTGCCTTGTCACATTGGACAGCATCTTCAATATGATGATGGACAGCAGCGGTTGCAGGCATCTTGTTCTTTGCTCCTAATGCATCTGCTTCAGTACCATGTGCCCTGTGGGCTCTTGCTACCTTTATCTCGAGCTCCTTCAGTTTCTCAGTTACTAAGACGCTTGTCACTATAGGGTGTTGAATTCCAACAGGCGCCTCGTTGTTTTTCTCTTTAGATAATAATACCATCTTTCTACTTAACGCAATACTATGGTAAAAGTAATCACAGTTTTGGCTCATCTTTGTGTTTCTAGTTTGAGTCCTGGTTGTGTATCATGTGTCTCTCTTTTAAATACATACTTAAAATAATCTAGAAAGTGAAATAAGGCTGGTACAACTGGAATGTATTGATAAAGACATTGGTATATGATTAGACTGGAAAGGTAAGTAGAGGCAGACATCATGGCCTCTGTTAAAATCTGAGTTGTATTTTAAGAACAATGAAAAGCTATTGATAGAATTTCCTCAGAGACAAGACACACGGAACTCTGAAAATGGGCTGCAGGGAGAGGAAAGTGTAGATGTGGAGAGACCCGTTGGGAGGATGTGCCGATTAGGGTGTGCCGGGGAAGACTGGCTGATGGGCTGACTGTGGAGCAAAGCAAGGAGTCAAGGATGGCTTAGAGGCTACGCGTTCTGAAGGGTTCCCTTCTGCTTCCAGACTTGAAACAGATCTCCATCCTGGACTTAGAGTCTACAGGGAGATGACACATTTTATCCATAATAATTCACATCCATATAGTGGCATCCATTACAAAGCCTTTTTCCATGCATCATCCCATTTGGCCATCGCAAACACTGAAAGTGTTGAAAGGTTCCCAGCCTGTGAAGAAAGAAATGAGGCCTGAGAAATAAGGGACAGACCCTGGACCTCCACCCAGATTTGTAGTTCCGCATCTCAGCTCCTTCAACCACCCCGGCATGCTCGCTGCCAGGTGTAAGACACAGAGCTGTTTTTCACACACTGCTGCCAGAGCCGTGTTCAGTAGACCACCTGGAACCAGACAATGTGTGAATCTCTAAATAAACAATGTAACTTTACAGCTAACCCAAACTTAACATTTACTGCATGGCTGTTGTGTGGCTATTGTGTGTTGTGCTCTAAGGTGTAGCAACAAGGAGGAAGCCACAACTAAAGTAAACACGAGGCTGGGTAAGTGAAATGCTGTATCATCTCTACTAGCCTGGCTGGCTTCCATTGTGTGTCCAGGCGCACACATGCATTCACGAACATGTGGATGAGTGCATTTGGAGACCAAAGGACAACTCTCAGATGTAGTTCCTCAGGTGTCATCTGTCTTGTTTCTCTTTTTGGACAGGGTGTCCCAGTGGCTTAGAAATCACCAAATAGGCTAGTCTGGTTTGAGTCCAGAGATCCACCTGAGGCTACCTCCCCAGCACTGGGACTAATTATAAGAGCACACTGCCAGACCCAGCATCTTTTTTTTTAAATTCTATGTATATGTATGGTTTGCCTACATGTATGTCTGTGTACCACATGCATGCAATGCCTGAGGAGACCAGAAGAGGGTATCAGATCCCCCAGGACTTGAGTTACAGACGGTTGTAAGCAACCATGTGGTTGCTGGGAATTGAACCCAGGTCTCCTGAAAGAGCAGCCAATGCTCTTACCACTGAGCCATCTCTCCAGCCCCGAGACTCATCTTTTTTAAATAGGTTCTAGGGATCTAACTCAAGTCCTCACAAGCACTGTGTGGACTGGGTGATCTCCTTGGCCCAGACTGACGTCTTTGTATCTGTGAAACATATTCCATGAGTTAGAGTGTCCCAGTGCTGTTTATGTTGGAGGCATGGTAGCCAAAAAGGGAAATATGGCTGGAGAGATACAGGGAAATTTGGAAGGAACTCTGCAGTTCCTAACAGTGGGATGGAGATGTGAGCATGAACACAGATATTCAGCCGAGTGCGACGGAGAGCCCAACTCTTGTCTGCCTCCTGCAGTCCTACATCTGTGGCCAGGAACAGCCGCCGTTGACAGTGATGTTCTTGTTCCCTAAAGATAGGCCGCCAGAAAGAGGCCATCATGATTCTGCAGGCACAGCTGGACGCAGCTATACAGAAAGAGAAGAACTGCCTCCAGAACATGGTCAGCAAAGAAGCCTACGAAGAAGTTCTGCGGAAGTCAGGCATCTGCCAAGACGACCTGACACAAGCCCTGGAGAAGGTGAGGCCCCACCTACTCTTCGCCAAGGAAGTAGTCAAAGAAATTCAGGGACTGTGAGTGGGCAGAAGCCAATTCTTATAAGACTGACAGTCCTCAGGGCGTCTCAACCCTTGCCTAGACAGGGGTGTCTGCCCTACATTCTCCTAGCTTTCTACGCTGTTATCCTTGCATTTGTTGTGGGGTGGCAGAGATGGCAATGTCTAACAAGTCTTCCCACTGACGGGTGATTCAGGGACGTGGTCTGGCCGGGAAATTCATGCGTCATCTCTGCTGACCAGTGGATAGGAGTAGGAAGAAAGGAAATGAAAGGAGGGGATGAAAACCGGGGAAGGAGGTGCAGAAAACCAACCACTGTCCCTCCCTACCCCTCTGGAACACCAGCACCACTGTGGGCAGAGGACAGGGAGGGCCTGGGACCCTCTGCACTCAAGACTCAGCAGAGAAGGCCAACGGCCCTGGTGGCCACGCTAACGCCCTCTGTCTTTGCCGGAAGCTCACGCATACGACCTCCGAGACAAAGAGCCTGCAGCGCAGCTTGCAACAGGCCCAGGAGAGGAAAGCTCAGCTGGAAGATGAAATCATAGCTTACGAGGAAAGGATGAAAAAGCTCAACATGGAGTTAAAAAAACTGCAGGGCTTCCACCAGCAGAGTGAGCTAGAGGTGAGAGGCTGGTGGGGGTGGGGCTCGGGCCGCCTTCCTGTTAAGAGGTCCACAAGGTCACCTTTTGCATGCAGAATTATTTAGCACTCAACCATACCCTTTGGCTACTGGGTTCACGCTCGCCCCACCTTCTCCGCTTCCGTAATGACAGGCAGGCAGGAAGGTCAGAGCAGGGGCGCCCTCTGCTGGTCACTAGAGATAAAAGGCACACACACACTCCTACACGCCAAGCCAAGCTTCCAGCATGGAGAGGGCACCCTCCTCCACCCCGCCTGGTCCTGCCCCTGCCCTCCCCCTCACTCTGCACTCCTGAGCAGGTGCACAACTTTGACAAGAAACTGGAGGAGATGAGCAACCAGGTGCTGCAGTGGCAGAAGCAGCACCAGAGTGACCTCAAGATGCTGGCGGCTAAGGAGTCGCAGCTCCGGGAGTTCCAGGAGGAGATGGCGACCCTGAAAGAGAGCCTCCTTGCAGATGAGAAGGAGGTGGGCACGGTCTGGATTCTATCACTTGCTCTCCACCCTTCCTGACTGGGGAGTCATGGGGGATGCCAGGAACAAGGAAACACACGAGCGCACACACACACACACACACACACACACACACACACACACACACACACACACACGCTGTTCTGCAGGAAGCAGAATCTGGATACTTCCAGCCACCTCTCAACTCACCTGTTTCCCTGTGGTTTTGCTGATAGACATTGACCAAGACTCTCAACAAGACTCGGGTACATCAGCTGCCACTCACAGCCCCTAGTTCGCCCTCTTCTGGGCACATCCTGTCAGGTTTTTGCCATCCAACTGGTTAAGTGGCCCTGGAGGTATGCCCCCACCTCCAGCAACCCAAGCAGTGCCATTCATGGCATGAAGTCTTGGGACATCTTGGGGTGGCCCCAGGGCCCTTGTTCAAATTTAAAAGAAGTGCCTCTTTTTCCTGATTCTTGCATTTGTTATGACATCCGCTCAGAACACCATGTTAGAACAAGTCACATCGCCGCCATTTGTCTGAGAGCCGTTACTGTAAGTGTCCAGGTCCATGGTGTCTGTGAGGAATGGTGTCTCTCGGGCACAGCACCACCGTGTGGAATGAAGGTCCTGCCTGTGGCAACTCTGGCCTCAGGTTGGGTAGCAGAGTTGATGTTTTTTTCCCCTCAGAAAGAAGAATCCAGATTTGGGGGAGGGAGATGGCAGTCGGTGTTCCCATCCCTTATAGTCTCGTTTTCTTCTTGTCCGCAAAGCCGCCCCAGAGGGTAACAACAACCAAAGAGAACTGTAGGCTCCACCGGGACAACGATCAGATCATGTGCAACATGGAACAGTGGGCAAAGGAGCAGAAGTAAGTATTCCAGACCAAAGGAGGGCGGGTCCCAAGGCCGGGCCGAACCGAGAACCACCGCGACCAGTCACACACGCCTGCCGAGAACTCACGCACACGCAAGGGTTGCCAGTCAGAGGGGTCTCACCCCTCCAGGCAGGTTCGCAAAGCCTGTAGCAGAGGGACAGGGCAGCAGCACCCAGTGCAAGGCACACCTCACTGAGCTACACGCTTCCTCTTCCCAAGATGGGATCCAGCCTCATGTGGATCCCTTGAACCCATTCCTTTGAAAATGTATGCGATCATCTGAATGTGAGTCCTCAGAAGGCTCCCGCTCGGGGACGAGGTGGTGGGGGCCAAGGAACAAGCAGAAACCCTGCTGGGAAGGGCCAGTGCCCATCGGTCAACTTCTCACCCATCTAGGGAAGAGCCATCTTTCCCGTGTGTTTTATGACAGGATTGCCAATGAGAAACTGGGGAACAAGCTGCGAGAACAGGTCAAGTACATCGCCAAGCTTACCGGAGAAAAGGAGTAAGTTTGTCTCCCTGCACTGTTGTCCCTTGGGACCACCCCTGGCTGACTGACATTCTGTACGGGGACTAGCCCCCCCCCCCCGGGGGGGAGGGGAGGAAAGATCTGGAAGGACCCTGAGACCTGAAACAGTTCCTAAGCAACACTGGTATGTCACTTGACTACACTGGACCTTAAGTCTCTCCCTCAACAGCAATTCAGTGAGGGGATGAAACCTCCACCTCCTTCCTCCGCTCACCTCCTTGGTGTTCAGAGGCAGAGAGCACTGGGAAGGGAGTGGGCACTGCAGGCAGGCTGTGGTAGGGACCGAGTGACTGTACTGGAGGTCCGTGAACAAGGGAGCGTGGAAGCCATGACTCTCTGTGGAACAGCTCAAGGTGGGACGTCCGGGTTAAAGGAGCTTCACTGCCCCTCAGGAAACTGGGGCTCCTGTACTTCAAGCCCCACTCTCCCTTGTGATCCTGCTTCACCACCTGGTCAAAGGTCCATCCACCGAGAGTGAGGCATGGGACGACAGGAAGTCAGAGACCAGAGACCAAGAAACGACAGTCTAAACATAGGCTGCTTCAGACAGGGCCTAGGACAGTGCTTCCCAAGCTTTTTCCAGGGACACACCATGCTTGGCATTCTAGGAGGGTCTGGAGAGGGATTGCTTGTGACAACATTGGCCAAGCAGCAGTTGCCTCAAACTCTGCTGTGAAGGCTGAGGGGCGTCCGTGTCTCTCACACCTGGCATCCATTTGTGGCTCCCAGGAGCAAGCAAGCTCTGTCCCGGGCTTTGACCTTAAGTTGGACAATGAGTTGAAGGAGAGAACAGAACTGTGACATGGAGAATAAGACACCAAGAGCAGGAGGAGGCTGTGTGGGATGTGGAAGACAGCAGAGCCATGGGTAGAGATAGAAAGAAGACAGCAGAGACACTGACAGAGACAGAAACAAGACAGCAGAGACACTGACAGAGACAGAAACAAGACAGCAGAGACACTGACAGAGGAGAGGACGGAGAGCTAGGGAGTGTAGGCCATACCAGACCTGGCCTCCAGCCCAGTGGCACATGGACTGGGGGGCTACAGGAGAAGAGGCCAGATTTGCAGAAAGCAAGTGGGTAAAGCATGTGACCAGTAAGAGGCTGAGGATCCATCCTGTCACGTGATTACCTCTAAAAAGGACCATGACACTTTCTAATGAAATTTAAAAAAAAAAAAAAAAAAAAAAAAACATTTTATCAAATATTTAACTAAAAAAAGCAGTTGTCATGATCTCAAAAGCTCCATACCCAGTGGCACAGGCCACCACAAGTTTAAGGCCTGCCTGGGCTATAGATCTAGTTCAAGGCCAGCCTGGGTAATTTAGTGAAACCTTGTCTCAAAATTTTTTTAATTGGAAAAAAAAAAAGGTCATGGACATAGTCTAGTGGTAGAATACCACTTGTATGACTTGAGCAAGACCCTAGGCACAATCCCTAGGACTGCCAAAAAATTATAAAGCAACAGGTAACTCCACATTTCCTTATATTTTATCAAGTTCCAGAAAGAGCCATTTCACCATGAACTCATTCTTGAATTTCCCTGGTTTTATCTTTTAATAATAATAATAATAATAATAATAATAATAATAATAATAACAATAATAACACAACTAATGTTCTGTTATTCAGCACATGGGAAGCAGTGTACATAGTCAAAAGTTTTCTCAGGTCCCGCCCGGCCCCGGCAATCCAGACAAATCTCTCTCACCCATGGCCCTGCAGCCGCTCAGTCCCAAGTAAACACACAGAGGCTTATATTATTTACAACCCGCATGGCCTATGGCTAAGAATTCTTGCTAGCTAGCTCTTATAACATACCCCATTTCTATGTATCTATGAGTTGTGCCACGTGGCCGTGGCTTACCAGTCTGCTGGCATCTTGCTTCTCCCTTGGCGGCAGCTGGCGCCACGTGGTGAAATTTTATTTGTGCACCCCAAGTGTGTTTTGCACACGTTGACTTACTTAATCTTCCTTCCTAAGACCTCACGAGCTGAGAATACAGGCACTCCTCAACTTAAGTATCAAGCCAGGGTCTATCTGTAGTGATAGAGCCATTTGTAGAGAGATTAATCCGGAGGCCAAATGTCGTCCCCTGTCCCCATAGAGTTTTCCATCATCTACTGCTCTCAAGATTTGTTAGAGGCGCAAAGCTACACAGAGAAACCCTGTCTCGAAAAACAAAACAAAACAAAAAAAAAAAGATTTGTTAGGAGAAATCCATAGGTTGATAATAGCTGCCATCTGTTGAGTCATGGAGAAGACACTACATTATCTTTCCTCTGCCCTATATCCCTGCCTCTACCAACTCATCTGTAAAATGAGAAGGAAAAATTTGGCCGTGTTCTCCACAGAGCCAGGGACCTGTACTCTCTGCTCTTCGGAAAGGGGAACAGAGAGAACTAGGGTGCTGGCTTTGGGTGAGTGCATTTCCCACACAAAGAACGCTATGCGCATACACAGTCAGAACTGTCCAGAGCAGCCTTCTGGTTCATGTACCACATTTCCATCATTTTTCAAACTGAATCCTTCCACAAACCCCAGATAAGGCAGGCTTAATTGTCCCCATCAAAAACATAGACATGAAGCCCAGAACTGGCAGAGTGGGTCCTCTTCCTGGTCTTCCTCACCCCCAGGTCTGAGCCTCTTCCATGGGACACAGATGGGCTTCCACTTACACAGGGTGTATGTGAGAACCCAGCTCTGAAGAGGTGGGCCCTCCTCACCCCGCTCCTGCGATGCCCTCTGGGTTCTTTCCGGCAAGGAGCCACACATATCCAACGGCCCCCTGCCCTCCTCACTTCCCTCTCCTCCCACAGCCACCTCCACAATGTCATGGTCCATCTGCAGCAGGAAAACAAAAAGCTGAAGAATGAGATAGAAGAGAAGAAAAAGGCGGGACACACGAGGATCTGCGGCAGGGCCCTAGGCCCAAGCAAACTGGAATCCTCCCAAAAGGGGAAACTGTGCAGCTCACTAGGCTGGAGAGGAATACCCCAGGACACGACAACCAAAGTGGACATCAACAAGTACATCGGGGTGCCCCACTTCACGGGTACGTGCGCCACTTGCTCTTTGCTACTGTCATGTCTCCTTTCTCTAACCCATGAGCCAAAACAGCAATAATGTGACCTCGTTCTCCAAAAAGACACTGGATTAGAATTCATACAGGAAGGAAACAGGTTACTAGAGACCCCCGTTCATAGTGCTCATTCCTTCCACACCTGTAGATGAAGAAGACAAATTACCGACCCTCAGATCTGAGAACTGGGTGATACCCGAGGGCCTCACATCACAGACTTGTCTCCTCCCTGGACTCAGTCCCACTGTGAGGTGGAGGGGAAAGAGGGAAAGGAAGAATAGACTTCCTCCTTCTCTTACTGGCTGGACATCCCACAGGAGTACCCAGCCCTCCACTCAGCCCCAGCCTATGCCCTACTGTTCCTACCACCTCTTTAGTCCATGAAGCCCCAGAAGGGAGATGTCACCCTCCAACAGAGCTTTCTGGCCATGACGCTGGTCCTCAAGAAGTCACCCATTCATTTCTCCTCAAATTAAACCTTTGTTTCTTCCCTGTTTCCCCAGGCTCCTCATATTGCTAGAATCGGCTCCTTGCTCTAAGCACCATTCCTACACATTTTCAGAGGACAGCGAGCTCCGACCCCTCTCTCTCGACCGGATCGGCTCCTACAGTCATCTCTCAAGGCCCTGCCTGGTTTATCAGATGTTATTGCCTTACTGAGTTTGTCTACTCCCTGAAATGGAGTGAGCTGTGGTACCCACTCCCACCTCCAGGCCCAGACTCCGTAATAAAGACACAAACACACAGCTTCTATGAGCTAGCTCCTGGTGTCTGTGCACTACCCATCCCGGCGACCTGCTCATCCCTGTGTGCTCCAGATGCCCAGCATTCTGGTCTCTTTACTTCTGTGGGAGAAAGTCTTCGCAAAGCAAGCCTCTGGGTTACCTGGATTAGGTTTTTAAACCAAAAAGAGGGAATTAGTGCTCCCCCTTTTTAATCTCTGTCTGGAATTTTAAATAGAAAAAAATCTAGAAACCTTTTTTTCCCCAAAAAGGAAAACAATTCTAGGACCCAAAAGAAAGTGCTAGAAATAAGTGATGCATTTTCCAAGTGGGAAAGGGTGGGCACACCATCTGCTTCCTCCCTGGCTGCCATATTACATTCCTCCTTTTAACAAGTTTACTTTTTCCCCCGGCCAGGACAATACAAGTAAAATTCCATTATAACAAACTCCAAGGACGGCTTAACTACTTTATTGTGGTAGGATTTTGTTAAGCGGAGTACATGTCTGGAATTTATATTTCCAGTCTATAGGAAACAGAGACAAATGGCTACCTGGGTAAACGAAGAGGAATAAATGGAAAAGCTTGCATTTCTGAGAGGGTAGGAAGAGGAAGGGAGAAGGCACTGGTGGGCGATGGTTCTCAGATGCTCTTGCCTCCCTCCCAGCCAAATCAGGGCCAAGAAAACACACTGCTAATCATGATGTTTCAACCTTGCCAGGATGCAGAAGGACTAATCTCCTGTGTGCAAAGAAGTGGGTACTGGGAGGCTCTGGAAACGTCTCTTGTGGTGTTTGATGGCCATCTGCTGAAGGTCTTCTGATTTTGTCCCCAACTTGGCTTAGATTAGCTTTTGTTTTCTAGCAAAAAGCAGAACTAAAAAGGAAAAACACCAAGATGTGCATCCTCGTCTTAGGTACGGCCCCTATATTCAAACACAAGTTCAATATCCTTAAAGTCCACAGTCCAGTCTACTACAAAGACAGGGTTATCTCCATATTTCAAGAAGATATTTCATATATACGTCAGCCAAAATTGCAAGCTCTGGACACTGCGTCACATAGTATTCAAAGCTGTCTCTCCCTCTCTGTGGAGGTGATTGTATCCAATCAAAGCAGGGGTGCATGATGGGAAGCAAGGAGGTAGAAACACTTTACTATTTCACCCGGTCACCTAGCTGTGCAAGCTCAGGCAGGCAGGAGACCTGTGGAGGCAGAGAGGATAGACTTAGAGAATGCCGGAGAAAGACGGGGAAGCTAAGTGTTTGTTCCTTGATACATAACCAAAGAAGTCAGTCTCTACAAAACCATTTAATATCTGACACTGAAAAGACATGGTTGTGGAAACACATTTTGTAAAACCACAGCTGCGTGCTCAAAGCTCCCAGGTTTCCTCTGAGATCGAGAACCAGGATGCCCACTTGGACCCCTTGAATTTAGCACAGTTCTAGTCACTGTAGCCAGAGTGCTTAGGCAGGAAAAAGAAATAAAAGATTTCCAGATTAGAAAGGGGAGCTGGCAAGATGGCTCAGCAGGTGTAGCAGTTTAAACGAGAAGGTTCCCCCATAGGCTCAGATACTTGAACACTTTGTCTCTAGTCGCTGACACTGTTTGGGGAGGTTTAGGAGGTGCAGTCTTGCTAGAGAAAGTGCGTCACTTGGGGTGGGCTCTGAGAATCAATAACCTCATCCCACTTCCTGCTTGCCCTCTTTACCTCTCACTTACATTTAAAGACAAACTTCAGCTTCCTGCTCTTGCCAATATGCCTACCACTGGCTGCTAGACTTCCACCTCACTGTGATGGTCTTCTATCTCTTAGACAAACTCGTCTTTAAGTTGCCTTGGTCATGGTATTTTATCACAACTGAACAACTAATGGAGCAGGTTATCGTGCTTGCTGAGCAAACCTGAATTCCATGCCTGGATCCCACATAAAAAGCTGGATGGTGCGGCATGTATCTGTAATCCAGCACTCCCTCAGCATGATGGGAGGCAGACTCTCCAGAAAGTACATGGGCCAGCCTGGAGCATGCAGCCTGACAGATTAAGAGAGAGCCTGCCTCAGTAAGGTGAATGCAGAGAACTGACTACTAATTATGTCTGTTCACAGATCGTATTTTACATGTGGAAAACCCTATGCTGGGAATGTAGCTTAGCCAGTACAGTGCTTCCTGAGCATGCACTAGGCTCTGGGTTCAATCCCCAGCACCGCAGAAGGCAGATGGAGAAAGATCAGGAATCCATGGTCCTCTCTGATTACAAAGGAAGTCTGAGAACAGGCTGAGGCATTCAAGACCCTGTCTCAGAAAAGGAAAAAAAAAATCCTACACATTCCAGACATACAAAAGAAAACACCTGCTATAGTAAACCAGTTCAGTAAAGCAGCAGGATAAAAGGCAATGCACAAAACTCAGTTACATTTCTATATACTAATAATGAACAGTCGGGAGATTACAAAAATAGTGCCATTTACTACAGCATGCAAAGAATCAAATACATCAGGCATGATGGTGCATAACTGTAACCCAACACCCAGAAGGCTGAGGTAAGAGGGTCACAGTTGAAGGCCAGCCTAGAAAACAAAACAAAAAAATTGCAATTAGCCAAGTGGGTTGTGCTAGTCTTCATGTCAACTTGATGCAGGCTACAGTCATTTGGGAAGAGGGAACCTCAGCTGAGAAAATACCCCAGCAGATTGGTCTGTGGACAGATCTGTGGTATATTTTCTTGATTGATGACCATGGGCAATGCCATCCCTGGACTGGTCTGGGTTCTCTAAGAAAGCAGGATAAACACGCCATGGGGAGTGAGCCAGTAAGCAGTACCCTTTCATGGCCTCTGCATCAGCTCCTGCCTCCAAGGTCCTGCCCTGACTTCTCTGGATGATGGACTACAAGCTGTAAGATGAAATAAACCTTTTCTTCAAGTTGTTTTTGGTCATAGTGTTCTATCATAGCAATAGAAACTCAACTACTAACGGGGAAAGACTGATACAAGGACAACTATAAAACATTGTTTAGCAGACATAAATAGAAACATAGTCCATGTTCATGAACTGGAAAACTTGTGCTGACATTACCCAAATGGATTTATAGATTTGGTACAACTTCTATCAAAATTCCAATGATACCTTTTGCACCAATGATACCTGTTTGGGGAGGTTTAGGAGGTGCAATCTTGCTAGAGAAAGTGCGTCACTTGTGGTGGGCTCTGAGAATCAATAACCTCATCCCACTTCCTGCTTGCCCTCTCTACCTCCCACTTACATTTAAAGACAAACTTCAGCTTCCTGCTCTTGCCAATATGCCTACCACTGGCTGCTAGACTTCCACCTCACTGTGATGGTCTTCTATCTCTCAAACAAACTCTTCTTTAAGTTGCCTTGGTCATGGTATTTTATCACAACTGAACAACTAATGGAGCAGGTTAACATGCTTGCTGAGCAAACCATGGAAAAATCCATGCTAAAATTCACATAATTTCAAGGGAACTCAAAACAATCATTAAAAAGGAAAAATAAAGCTGAAGATTCATGTTCCAATTTTAAAACTTTTTTAAAAATGTTTATGTGTATAGATATATTGCTTGTATGCCATGTATACATGCCAGAAGTGGGGGCGGGGGTGTCAAAGCCCCTGGAACTGGAGCTACAGACGTTTGCAAGCCATCATGTGGGTACTGGGGAATTGAACCTGGGTCCTCTGCAAGAACAGCAAGTATTCTTAACCCCTGAGCCTACAAAGCTATAGTGATCAAAACAGAGTGGTCCTGTCACAAAGACAGTCCTATTGATCAATAGAAGCACAAAAGAGCCCAAATACACTTGCCTAAGGCCACATGATTTTTGATAAGGGTAGCAAGACCATTCAGTGGGGAAAGGACAGCCTTAAACAACAGGTACTGGATATCAATATGCAGATGAATGAAGTTTTTATTTAATATCATATATAAAATGAATTCTATTACAAAGGGTAAACACAGATGACTGAGAACAAAGTCCCTGGTCCCTAGCAGGGATCTTCTATAGACTACACAGGAACCAGTGCCCTCACTCCAGCAAGTCCGAAGTGGTAGGAGTTCACCTCAGGGTCATGTCTAAACAGAGACCACAGGACATTTTTAGAAATGTTTCTGTCCACTAAAAGAGAACCATCACCAGAAGCCAGTAAGAACCAGTGATAGATAAAACTGCCCTACAAAGAAAAGTATCTGTAATTGCATGAAAACCTTGTAGACACAGGTCCAGACCTAATCCCAGGCAGCCAGCAGCTTTAACACAAAGTCACCTCCAGGAAGACCTGCAGGAGGCTGTCCATGCTTCTTGTGGCACCTGTGCCCTTGGCCAGGACTTCCTGACTTTTAAAGGTGCATCAGACCCGTAGTTCTAATATCCCGTTTCCTCATCTAAAGGAACATGTAAAGGGGTTTGTGCCCACAGTCTCTGTTTATCAGTCATAAATCTATCAGTTAGAATCCATTCTTCTGTACTACTGTATCCTAAGCCTGAACCTGTACATGGGTCCCCTACCAAGCCACCTTCTTCTGGACTTCCCACCCAGCGCCAAAATTACGTTACCCAAGCAAGCAGGTGGAAGCCTCTAAACAGCATGCACCTCTGTAAAGAAGCCAACTCCCCTGGGAAGGCTAAACCAAGGCCCTGCTCCCCTCCCTCCCATTAGTAGGCCATCAAGGTAGGCCTCACCATTGCCTACCAGCCTCAGAAACAGCTGGGATTCACAGAGCTTGGCCTGTCCTGCGCTGGATGCCCTGAGCCATTCTCAAGTCTCTCCACCTAAGGGGCTCCCACTCAGTCAATCCCACCTCCAGAATTCCTGCCCATAAGCTAGGAAACTGGCTCAGTACTGACGTGCTCATCACATGAGAATGAAGACATGGGGTCAGATCCCCGTTACCCATGAAAAAATAAGGAAGATGAGTAGTATCTCTGGCCTCCTCACACATACCCATGTGCATGCACACTCACTCATATATGCACATAAGCACATAAAGATGTGTACACACATACTCCACA